TTATATTGTAGATATATTTGGTCTTATAAAAATGACAGAATCAATATACATTTTTCTTTCTTAATTTGAAACTATGAGAAGAGTGGTTGCTTTTTTTTTCCTTTTATTTAATTGTGAATGTTTTTATTTTATTTTAGTTCTTGTGTGGATACTGCTATACCTGTAGTTTTCCATAGCAAATGTAATCCTTGTTTCTCTAGATAGCATTTCTTTAGATAGTATTTCCCCCACAAAGCAGGAAAGTAGTAGAGATACATTGTACTTTTACTTTTGTTACTTTCTCTTCGCCATAAAATTTTAGTTTATATTATTTTTAACTCAGGTGCTTGTTATCTCATTAAATATACTTAGGCTTCTAACACTTGATCTTTCAGCTTTCAAAGTTTCTTTTTATTTTCACTTACTTTCCCCACTCCTTTCAACCTGTCAAAGTTTAAATGAGAACATCCCATACTTCTTTAGATTCTTTTAGGTTGACAAAAATCAGACAGAATGATGAGAAAGAAGCCCAAAAAAGAGTTTAATAGTAACATGTATGCCTTCTGTATACATGGGAGAGACAAAGACTGAGTAACTCACCAGCATGGCTTCAAATGCCATTTTAAATAGCCTAGCTAAGACAGAAGGACTTTTGGCAGGAGAATGGGAAGACAGGGAGATTACTGGTAAAGACATAGTAGACAAAAATACGTAGATTTAAGTTCTGCCTTCTCCATTAAAATAGTGGTAAGGATATTAGGCTTCACAGTACATAGAAGTTTACCCGTAAATATCATTCAAAAGGAACTTCCAGCCAACCTTCAAAATCCCTCTCATGAAATAAACTTTTTGCCAAAGTTATATTTTGGGGTGGCACATATCTGCACCTCTACAAATTCTTTTCATATTTTGTAACATTTGCATTTTATTCTGTGACTATAAAAAATGTATTCCTAGAGCAGAATGTATTTACTGTTCACTGCCAACACTTTTACTATAGCTTTTCCTTTTTCTCTTAGCAGCGTTGAATGGGAAATACTCGCTGAGTTAGTGTGTTAAATTTTTTTTGTCTCTTGTGTTAACTCTGAACAGCAGTTTAGCTGGGTATAAAAATCTTTGCAGTCATTTCCCGAAATTGTTAGAGAGCTAATTACTCCCCTTCTATGTTCACTGTTTGTATGTGCAAATTTGAAGTCAACTAGATTATTTCTACCCTTATAGGTGAAAAGATCTTTTTGACTAGGTGACAAAATTTTTTTTAAAGATTTATTTATTTATTCATATGGAACTGGGGTACAGATCTGAGATGTGGAGGGTGAGAGGATTCACCAGAGACAGAGAGGGGAACAGAACAGGCAGATCGACAAAGTACACTGCTGAGGGGAACACCGGGTGGGTCAGGAGAGGTCTGCCACGCCTTGTGGATCTCCTCCAGAGTAGGCGGGGATCGAACTCATGCGAATGTGGCTTTAGCTTCTTAGTGCTGTGCTTTAACCCGCTGCGCCACCTGGGAGGGCCCAGACAAAATAATTTTTTAAAAATTTAATTATCCATGAACGTTACAAGGATGTGTAGGTAATGTTTAAATTCTTACAATCTGTAGATTTAAGTCTTTAATTTTTAGGAATTTTACTTAAATTACATATTTTCCCTTTTTTTGTTCTCTTAGCAACAGTCATATGTACCTATTTTGTCTTCTTTATTTAATATTTTAAAATTCTTATAAAATCTTGTTGATTTCTATTTTATTTTGTCCCTTCCCATCCTGTCCTCTAAGCTTCCTTATTAGTATCTATTTTGCCTTGGGCTGTTTTCAGTTTTCTTTGATGGAGTAATTTTAGAAAACCTGTGCTTTTAGCTTGCTCAGGTCCTTTAGATTATACCTTGCACCCTGGTAACAAATAGCTGTGACTGTTAAAGGAAATCTTTAAAAGCAGGTACAGGTGCTTTTTACCACTTGCCAAATTTTCTGTTCAGTTATATTCTGTCTTTATGATATTCCAGCTTACTAAAATTCTTCTTTAAGGATTTGCTTTTCCCCCCTATATTATCCTTTCATCTAAATTTTTTTGAAAATTTCTTTTACTTTTATTTGAATGTGTATTGTTATGAATTTTTTTAATTTGTGCTTTTAAAAATAATATTTTGGGAATTGTCAGGTTCTGTTATATGTAGGAAGGATTATGAAATTATCTTACTTCCACAAAAGGTTCAGTGTTCTTAAGGAAGAGAGAGGAGTAAATTCTGTGTAAATGATTTATCAGACTATGATATTTTATTCGGTGCAAATATTAGGTGACTTTTAAAGTTGTAGAGCTTAAGAAAATGTGAATCTGGAGGGTCTTTTGGGTTTTTTTTTCTAAATGTGTATAAATAAAATAGATGCTTGTTCTTTAATCAGTGTGCTTCTTAGGGTATAGGTGGTCTCTGTTGTATCTGTCTGTGAAAAAATAGGATTTGCTGCTGTGCTGGTAGTATGCTAGTGGTTAAAGATGTTGGAATCAATCACTTGATCCATTTGTTCCTGGGGAAATGGAATCTAAATATCACTATGGATCTTTTAGGATAACATAGTTCAAAAAATATTTGGTGAATGGGCTAGAGAATCTGGGTAGTGACTGTATCCAGATAATTTCTTGTAATTAAACTGTGTGCATCAGTGTGTTAATCTATTTGTCTGATATATGTGTGACTCTCTTTATGGCTTATGGGAAAGAAAAAGGGCCAGTCTTCTGGAGAAAATAATGAATCATAGATTCTTAAGACTGTGGAGGGCTTTTTACCCATTTCATTTTGTAGGGTTTATGATTACTCTGCAGTTGGGCAGAAGCAGTAGTGTTAGCAATGTGTTACGTTATTGACCTTTTTTTTTTTTTTTAAGATTCATCCATTTGTGCATACAGAACTGGGGTACAGGCCAGAGGCTCAGGGGTGGCGAGAAGCTTTACCAGAGACAGAGTGGGGAGCAGAACAGGCAGATCGACAAAGTACACTGCTGAGGGGAGCAGTGGGCGGGTCAGGAGAGGTCTGCCACGCCATGTGGTCACCTCCGGGGCAGGCAGGAATAGAACTCATGCGGGAGTGGCTTTAGTTTCTTGGTGCTGTGCCTTAACCCGCTGTACTACTAGGGAGGGCCTTTATTGACCTTTGACTGTGTTCCAAGTATTATACGGAGTGCTTTATGTCTCTCTTTTATTAGAATGATTACAGGAGGTTTTCTTTTTAATTATCTCCATTTTATTGATAAGAACATTGTGGCTTGAAGCTTAAGTCACTTAAGCAACTAAAGACAGATAAAGGATTTGAAATCAGGACTATCAGGCTCAAAAACCTTAATTACTATGTTATTGCCTCTCAGGGGGGTGATTGTTTATTTTTTTCTTTTTTTTTGAAAAGATTTATTTATTTATGCTTATAAGAACTGGGCAACAGGTCAGAGGTATGAGAGGATTCACCAGAGACAGTGGGGAGCAGAACAGGCAGATTGACAAAGTACACTGCTGACGGGAGCAGTGGGCGGATCAGGAAAGCTCTGCCATGCCATGTGGGTCAGCTTCTGGGCAGGGACTCAAACTCATGCTACAGTGGCTGGGAATCTCTTCTTAGTGCTGCGCCACCAGGGAGGGCCCAGTCTTGTTTACCTTATAGAGTTAAACAAGAATGAAGCATTTTAGGCTAAGTAAAAATTCTCTTTATATTTCATTTAATACAGGTTAATTTTGTTTGAATAATTTAAATAGACTTTTGTATTTGACTTGTTCTTTCTGCTCGCATACTATTCAGATTATGAAATGAGAAGGGATGGTAGTGAATGTTATTTTACTACTGATAATTTAATACATGGTTAAGTGGATTTTGCTTGAACATCCTTCCTTTTACTGACAGGGGAAATTTCTTTAGACTTTAACTGTCAAAATGGAAAACTTTACCCCAACTAAAATTGCTTCTGAGTTAGGAACTGTCTTATGATTTAAATGTTGAAGACTTCTGGATTTCTCATGTTAGCTTGGCAGTGTCTTTTTATGTCATTTGGTGATTCAAAAATCATAGCCCAACTAGTATTAGATTGGTTTTTCCAGATAGGAGTAATGAAGTTAAATATTTATTTATATGGGTATAATGGGTTCTGGCCTATAATTCTGCTGTCACTTTGTAGTTAATATACTATTACCTTAGTCTTGCCAAGTATTTTTGCCTTCTGGACACCATAGAGACAGACTCCTATTGTTTGTAATTATGCTCATAAAAAAAAATCCAAAAAAAAAAAAAGATTTTTTTTTTCCTCTTCTCAGGACAAGTTTGCCTTCTGCTTAACAAAATTAACCTTGTACTTTTCCAGTGGTTTGCAGACCACATTTATGCTTGTGCTGTGTCTGCAGTCCTTTGCTCTGGATTAGGAACCTTTTTCCTGGAAACAGCAATGCTGGGCAATAGCAAGAAGACCCGGATCTTGCAAGCCAGTCTCTGTTTCACACTATATATCAGTAAAAATACTCTTTCATCTCCTTTTGTTTTACCTGGCAGATGGGATGGGAAGTTGTTCATTTCTGCCTTTCACCACTATCAGAAGACATTTGTCTCTTGTGAATGCTTGTCTTTTGAGTGCTGCCTTAGTAAGCAACCCAGTCACTAAAAAACATAAGGAGCAGTGCTGCAGGGAAAAAGTGGCTCCTGAGACGTGGGGCCAGGTAGTGATATTCATGGCACTAGGTTGAAGGGAAATTATTCCTGTGCTATTTTGGAGAGTCTTGTCCTGAGGACAATTAAACAGTCCAGACAGGTCACTGGGTGAGACCAATTTCCTGGTTTGTTTATTTGAGCCTGATTGTTTTTCACCATTGAGCACCAGGTCACAGTCAGGCTACACTGTTACCCCAGCTCTGGGGAGAGAAATCCCTTTCATACTGGATTTCTACTGGCTTCCGAAAGGACCCCAGCCATGTCTTTATCTGCTCAGATTGCTCTGTGTCTCCCAGGTCCAGGGCAGAGGGCAATGTGAGTAATCATTTCATCTTTTACAGGCATTTGGCTTTATGTCCCGAGTTGCCCTACAAGCAGAGAAGATGAATCATCACCCAGAATGGTTCAATGTGTACAACAAGGTAACTATAGCCTCCGTTTGGGGATCTCCTTAATGATGAAGTTTAAGAAACACCTTCCTTTTTTTTTTTTTTTTTTTTTTTGTTATACTGTGCAGCCTAGGTATTATTGTGCTTAGAAAAAGTATTCTCTCAGACACTATCTCTCAGAATTCCTGTGTATCATTGCAAATCAGTAACAAATTTTCAGATCTTTTCAAGAGAATAATGACTAATAAGTTCAGAATTTTCATGCTTGTTTCCTTTTGAAATGAACATGAGAATTTTGTGTCAAATTAAGCTCTGGAATCAAGCTTAAATATCAGCCATGCAGAAGCATTTTAAACACCTTTTTTTTCCCCATTTTTTTAAAATTTATTACAAAGTTTATTTTTACACATTTTTTTTTCCATCTCGATTGTAGTCCCTGAGGGTTTCCCATCACCAAATCACCCCTGTGCCACCACCATAGTCCCGTGCATTTCCCTCCCTTCCTCCCCCCCCCCCCCGGTTTTTGATCCCATTCCCCACTCCACCCCCACAGAATGTCTCTGGTATATGGCCTGGTCCATTATACTCCTGCTATGAGTGAAACCATCCGGTATTTTTCTTTCTCTCTCTGCCTTATCTCACTAAGCATGATCTTTTCCAGCTCCATCCAAGTTGCTGCAAAAGACATGTGTTTCTCTTTTTTGGTTGCTGAGTAATATTCCATTGTATATATGTACCACATCTTTCTAATCCAGTCATCTACTTTTGGGCATTTGGGCTGCTTCCATGTTTTCCAATTGTAAATAAAGCAGCAATAAACATGGGGGTACAAGTATCTTTTTCAATCAGTGTTTTTGTGTCTTTTGGGTAGATACCTAGGAGTGGGATTGCTGGGTCCTAGGGAAGCTCCATGTTTAGCAGTTTGAGGAACCTCCAAACAGTTTTCCATAGTGGTTGTACTAGTTTGCATTCCCACCAGCAATGCAGGAGAGTTCCTTTTTCTCCATATCCTCGCCAGCATTTGTTGTTGCTAGTTGTTTGAAGATGTGCCATTCTCACTGGGGTGAGGTGGTATCTCATTGTGGTTTTAATTTGCATCTCCCTTATTACGAGTGATGTTGAACATTTTTTCATATGCCTGTTGGCCATCTGCATTTCCTCTTTGGTTTAAACACCTTTTAAGGCAAATTATTACAAGAATTGGTAGAAAGTAAGATACATATGACTTTGCCTCATTAAGGTTGCTTAAGAACTGTACTTTTAAATAAAGTTATTTATTAAATTCTCTATCTTCTGTGTATTTCTTACTTAAGACAAAGCAGACTAAAAAGACTTATGTAGTTTTAAGGGGGCTTAGTAAGAAGCATTATGCCTACCCAAAAGTGTCCCTTGCCTTTATAGTGGTGGTATTTGACATGTCATATCATTCAGATTTCTTATCATCTCAGATTTCTATGGGGTTTTATTTTCTCCTGGGAAATCTTTGCAGGTAGAAAATGTCTTGATATTATTCTAATTTTGAGGGAGTGATGTTCAGAATATGCAGGTATCAGGTTAAATTTTCTTTCTTAATTGCCTCCACTTGCCCATCATTTTTTTAATTGACTTGTCTAAAAGCAACAATTGTTCCTCTATCTCATCCCCACCTTACTTTTCTAATTTGGAAATGGATTTTTTTTTAAACTTAGTTGCTAAGACATTGCATTTGATAGATTGGTTTTTCAACAGCCTGAAAACAGTCTATGCAATTAAAGTAATGGGATTTAAAATGGAACCTCAGTCCCTTTCTTTTTAAGAGATGAGATTGGATATTGTGGTAGCTGAATTGCCCTTCACATGAGTGAACCATTTTTATCTTGGGGTCTCTGCTCTCCCTGCCTGAAGGCAGACTGCTCTGGAGATTACTGAGGTGGGAGAGCCATGTTTGTACCTGAAAGTGTAATGTTTCCAGAGTCAGTTCTCAAATATGAATGTTGAGCAATAGACTGATTTCTGAACCACAAAAGGAGAATACCTTGAATTGCAGCTCAGAGTTTTAAAAACTGCTCTGTTTTTCTTAGGTCCAGATAACTCTTACTTCACATGACTGTGGTGGACTGACTAAAAGAGATGTGCAACTGGCGAATTTTATTGAAAAGGCAGCTGCTTCTGTGTGATTTCTTCCAAAATGCATGTAATATCTTCAGTACATCTTAGCTGGAATGCATTGTGAAGGCAATTTACAAGTACAAATTTTGTTGTTAATTTCACCTTTATAGATTACATTTTATAAAATCAGTGCTTAAATACAAAGTGATTTAAACTTGAGTCCAAAGTATTTTTTCATTATACTTCATCACATGTGTAAGATAAACCAATCCAGGTGATTATATTAACAATATTCCAAAAGCGAAAAGCCATTCTTACAGACAGAAATTAGGATGGGGGAATAATCAAACATTATTTAACCCAGAAATCCAAGTGATTATGGTGATTTTGCAAATGTTTTATATGGGAGACTAGTTTTAAGATGGAAAAAGAATTATGGGGGAAAAAGAACTATGAGTTCTGCAGATAAAGGGTTTAAACTGATGATAATAATTCTTATGAATTTAAAATTATTTCAAATTGGATATTAGTTGCTGTTATTGTTAAAATCATTTACTTTAAAAAGTCACAAAAATGGGGTGAGCTCTTTTGGTGTGTTTTACCCTTTACAGGTAAAGTTGAAGGAAAGGACATTCTCTTGCCTACAGCTTCTAGCAAGGTGGGGCAATATGAGGATTCATTGTTATGGTCACCAACTTGCCAGGCCATCATTTCACTTAACTGCATTAAGAAGGAACAATGGGCCATATTTTTTTTTCATCATTTGTGTGTCAGCCTCCCTGGACTGAGGGTCTGTAGCCACTAAGTGAGAAGCTTGGGTAATGTTCAGTTTTGAGCTCTATTCTTCGTCATTAATGGGTAAAATGCAATATGAAACAATTTTTATTTAAAAATTGCAACAGTAGTGTTCTTTGAAGGAACTCAGGGAGCTACTTTATTAATGAGATTAGAATCTACATTAAAAGAATGTATGTATTCAAGGAACATGTGTTAGTCCCTTGAGCACTGTGATGGTAGGATTTAACAAGGCTCATCTTTATAACACCTCACTTCAGAGGCCAGAAAAATTACTTCGTGGCACAGTAAGCAAACCTTCCCCTTCCTTCAGCACCCTGACTTGAGGAGTATGGGACATGAAAGAGAGACTGAATTCTGAGAAGCCATTTCTCTGATGCTTTTGTTGGCTTTGATGAAGCAGCTGTGATTGGTGTTCCCAGTGTGGGGAGCTATGCGGAGAATGAGAGAAAAATGATGCTCGAGGCTCTGTGTTCTGTGAGCTACAGAGCACTTGGGCATTTTAGAGGAAAGGCAAAATATATGTTTCTTATGAATTTTTCCTATACTATAGATTTGGGAACTTTTATATATATTATTGCCAAAGATTTTTAGTTCATTATATTAATTTTTTTACAAGAACTTTCAATAAAAATTTTAGGCCCTCACTGGTGGTAGAGCAGGTTAAAGAGCAGCACTGCAGCTGGCCGCAGCTTCTTCAGTGCCAGTTGGATCCTCCACCCCGGGGGTGACCCACATGGCACAGCAGACCCCTCCTGACCCGCCTGCTGCTCCCCTCTGCAGTGTACTTCGTCAGTCTGCCTGTCCTGCTCCCCACTCTGTCTCTGATGAGTCTTCTCACTGGCCCTGCCCCTCTGGCCTATACCTCAGTCTGTATGCATAAATAAATAAACGTTTTAAAAATTTTTTTTAAACATATATAAATAGATAGCACATTGAACCCTTATGTGCTAATCACCCAGATTTAACATTTACCAAGATTTTTGCCCTAGTCACTTCATGCAATCCTGTTTCCTCTTTCTTTGCTAAAGTATTTCAAAGCCATTCCGAGATAACATGTCCCCTTTCCCCTACATCCTACAGTAAGCATCTGTAGAAAAAAATGGTTATTTTCCTGTACAAACCAAAGTGCACACCTAGCAAAATAAAGCATGATTTCATTATTACTTAATACCCATGCAAAATCCAGGTACTCTGAGATCAAGAATATGTGTAATTTTGTTCTAATTGGGATCCATGTGAATTTTACCCATCACATCTGGTGGTTTCTTTAATCTTTTAATCCAGAGCAAGCAAGTAGTTCCCTATTCCCACCTTCTCCCCATTTTATTAACTTATTATGAAAACTGAATTAGTGTCCTGCAGAATATTCTATTTTCTGGATCTCTTTACTTACTTGTATCACTTATTCCACTATATCTGAATGAAAGCCTTTCCCCCTTTTTTAAATGTAAGTCTGTGTTAATATATATCACATATAGCCAATGGAAAAAGCAGGATCTGACTTGTAATTGTATACTGAAGGCCTGAGAAAATAGTGTCTAGGAGGATTAGATATAAGGCCCATGTTAAGGGATATTGTATCTGAGATCAAGAATATGTGGAATTTTGAACTCACATACTTTAGTATAATCAAAAATCCTGTATCAGAAGTTTATGGAAGTATACATTGTGGTAAATTCTACAAGTCTGAATCCCTAAATTGCTTCAAGTAACTAAAGTTTCAACTTATAAGAGACACTGTCAAACTCAGAGTTTCCCAAGTTCCTGTCTGCTCCAAATCTTTTTTTTTTTTTTAAGATTTATTTATTTATGTATACTGGGTACAGGCCAGAGATGCAGGAGTTGTGAGAGGATTCTCCAGAGACAGAGTGGGGAGCAGAACAGGCAGAGCAATGAAGACTGCTGTGGGGAGCAGTGGGTGGGTCAAGAGGGGTCTGCTGCGCCATGTGGATCACCTCTGGGGTGGGAATTGAACTCATGCTGAAGCTGCTGCAGCTAGCTTGGTAGTGGTAGGCTTTAACCTTTTGGGCCACCAGGGAGGCCCCCTCTAAATCTTTATGTGAATACAGTGGTTCTCCTGCTTCAGTTTCCCTCCATTTTTTTTTTAACTGACCACTGGCGTATAGAGGAATTAAACAGACATGACCTGTGACCCCTTAAGTGACCTCCACAGATAACAAACCTGTCCTAGGACATTTGACTGTGTCCTTCTTTAAAATTAAATTAATAAAAGTTGTGAAAATAGCAGTTAATTTCTGATATGACGGGATTTAGGAAATCTTTGGATAAATAAAATAAGCATAATTCTTCATGCTTTTTCCCTAGACAAAAGGGTATAGCATGTCTTTTGTATTTAGTCACAGACCTGACTTTCATCAGTATGTTTAGACAACTAGTGTTAGTATGGAGTAGTCCATGCATTTTGTAAACCAACATTCAAAAATAAACTTGTTGAACTCTGTAACTTTCAGCAGAAGTTATATGCAATAGGGTTTTGCTGTGATGTATGAGCTTTGTGTTTCAGTGCATGGTACCTGGCACTAGTAAAGGAGTGACATGGCTGGAACGTAAGTCCCCTGCTGCCAGCCCTGCTGACTACCAGTTCTGCTTGCTCTGTGCAGCTGAGCTAGTGCTGTCCAAGTGGAGCACAATGCCACTTGCTGCTGAGGGCAGAAGAGGTGACCTTTGATTTCGCATCCCAGGATGCCTGTCCTTTGCACTTAGCCCTCACAAGGTAAGATTTCCGTGGGCCTGGAGAAAGTTTGTCACTTCTGATTTTCTGTTGCTTTCCACTTAACAGCTAGAGTTCCAGTCCCCAACTCCGTGTCTGCAGAAACCACATTCAGCTGATGGTGGCTGTGACGACCTAAGAACAGCCAGGCTCTTCTCTCCTGCTCACAGCCATCTTTCCTCCCCCCACCCCAAGTGTCTTGAAAGAAATCTTTACATTCTTAATCTACATTTCTTCCCCCCAAAACATGTTTTGGTGCTTAAAGAGGGAAGGCATAGAGGTGTATCATTAATTTCTGAAGATGGAATCCCCACTGTGCTCAACTATGTGAGTGAATTTAAGGGTCCCTGATGCCTTTCACTTATATATTCATGGAGCACACACTTAGCATGGACTTTCTAATCCCCCCAATGGGATTAGGCATGTGGATATCTTGGTGCAGGTAGAAACATGCAGAGGGCATGCTGAATCTCTTGGAGTAACTCTGAATGGAACCCAGAAGGGTATGTCAGCAAAGGAGACAGTAGGCAGAATAGAAGGAGCTGATCCCTGACGGAAAGAACATTGAGCCAGAAGATGAGGCTAAAGTTTGGCTCTTGGGGACAGAATTCAAGTGATTATTAAAGTTTTGTTATTGATGAATTTATTTTTTTCATTTACTTTAAAAATTTATATATACACATACACACCACTTTTCTTCTTGTTTGCTTTTTTTTTTTAAAGATTTATTTATTTATGTATACAGAACTGGGGTACAGGCCAGAAGTGCAGGGGTGGTGAGAGGATTCACCAGAGACAGAGGAGGGGAGTAGAATAGGCAGATTAACGAAGTACACTGCAAGGGGAACAGCGGGGAGACAGGAGGAGTCTGCTGCTCCATGTGGATCACTTCCAGGGCCGAGGATCGAGCTCGTACTGAAGTGGCTGCAGCCAGTTTCCAGTGCTGCATCCTAACCCATTGCACTACCAGGGAGGGCCTTATGTTTGCTTTTTTCCCTCAGGTATAGTTCCCATAAAATTCCCACCACCAATTCACCTGTGCACCTTCACCTTAATCCCTTGGGCTCTCCCTGCCCTTGTTTTGATCCCTCCTTCCTCCTCCCCTGTACAATGTCTCTGATTTATAGTTTTCTGTTTATTTTTGTTTTGTTGTGTGCTTTTTATTATTTTTTTCCCTTGATCTCTTCTTTGATTCCCCTATATTTCTCCTATGAGTGAAACCATCTGATATATTTTTTTCCTTCTGACTTATTTCACTGAACATACGCCCTTCTAACTTCATCCATGTTGCTGCAAATGGCTAGATAATCTCTTTTTTTTTTTTTTCTGAATAGCATTCCATTGTGTGTATGTGCCACATCTTTTTGATCCAATCAGCTACTTTTGGGCATCTGGGTTGTTTTCAAGTCTTACCTATTATAAATAGTGCTGCAGTAAACATAGGTGTGCATGTATCCTTTTGAATAAACGTCTTTGTGCCCTTTGGGTAGATTCCTAGCAGTGGAATTACTGGGTCATATGGTAGCTTTATTTTTAGTAATCTGAGGAACCACCACACAGCTTTCCATAGTGTTTGGACCAGTTTGCATGCCCATCAGCAATGTAAGAGAGTTCCTTTTATGCAGCATCCTCACGAATACTTGCTGTTATTTTTTTTAATGTGGTTTTCTTACTGGTATAAGGTGGTGGCTCACTGTGGTTTTAATTTGCATTTTCCTGATTATGAGGGATGTTGAACATTTTTTCATATGTCTGTTGGCCATTTGAGTTTATCTCTGGAGAAGTGTTTTTTTAGTTCTATTGACTTTTTTTTAATAAAGATTTTATTTATTTATTCATACAGAACTGGGATACAGGTCAGAGGTACAGGGGCGGTGAGAGGTTTCACCAGAGACAGAGTGGGGAGCAGAACAGGATGGCTGATCAAGTACACTGCTGAGGGGAGCAGCAGGCGTGTCAGAAGGGGTCTGCTACGCTATGTGGATCACCTCCGGGGTAGGCGGGGATCGATGCTGAAGTAGCTTTAGCTTCTTAGTGCTGTGCTTTAACCCACTGCGCCACCAGGGAGGGACCTGCCTTTTTTTTTTCTTTTTTTAACTGTATTATTTACTTTTTTTTTTTTTGAGTTTATAAGTTCTTTGTATATCTTTGTGATCAGTCCCTTATTAATTGTGTGAAGTGCAAAAATTTTCTCCCGATAAGTTGAGTGTCTTTTTCTATACAGAAGCTGTTTAATTTGTTGTAGTCCCAACTGTTTAATCTTTTCCTTTATTTTCTTTGCTTTAGGGAATGAGTCTTTAAAGATGTTACTGACATGTATGTCTTGCAGTGTTTTACCTATATTTTCTTCTATATATTTTATGGTTTTAGGTCTTTGTTCAGTTTTTATTCATTTTGAGTTGATTTTTGTGCATGGTGTGAGGTAGTGATCTAGTTTCATTCTTTTATTTATGGTGGTCCAGTTTTCCTATCACCATTTATTGACCAAACTATCCTTGTTCTATTGCAAATTCTTTGCTCCTTTGTCAGAGATTTATTGTTCATATATGTGTGGCTTTATTTCTGGGCTTTCTATAAGATTCCATTGGGCAGTGTTTCAGAGTTTGCTCCAGTGCCATACTGTTTTAATTATTATGGCTTTGTAATGCAGCTTAAAGTCTGGCAAGTGAGACACCACCATTCTCCTTTGTTTTAGTAAGGAGAACTTTGGATATTTGAGGTTTTTTGTGACTTCATATGAATAGCATGTTGATGATTTTAAATGGAGACATTGAGTAAATAAGATCTTTTTTTTTCCAATTTCAGTATATTGGTTGCCTCTGACAGTATTTTGCTACCAGAAATCATCACTATTTATTTTAGCATAAATATCAGATACTGTTAGTCCTCATTTAACATTGTCAACAGGGTCTTGGAGTCTATGACTTCATACTGACGTATGCAGTAAAGTCAGGTCATTGAATAATGTTGTTTAATACTGACTGGGATTTCATTTTTTCTCATTAATGTCAAAATTATGCTTAATGAAACGACCTTATCTGAGGTCCTGCTGTACAGCAGAGATGGTGGGGTTGTTGCCTCATTTTCTGAAGACCTAACAATTAAGGTTTCCAGGACTTTGGCTAAACATTTATTGCAGCACAGGGCTACTCAGGTCCCTCTGTCATATATTAATTTCAAGAAATAAGCAGGATGAAAAAAAATCCCTATTGCTGTTGTACTTAAAGCCTGTCTTCCACACAGGCTCATAGCTTTCACTCTACTTGAGTGGTTTGTATGTGCAATTACATGCCCCCATTTGGCCAGTGCTGGCAGGGGTAACCTGTGTTCTGGTTTCTTTTGTTTCTTGCTCTAACCTCCTCAAAATCTTTATTCTTTAGGTCTTTGTAGTGTATGCTCTGGATGTGTTCTTTTGTCCTTAGAACCCCAGAGAACTTTGCTTTTGCCTCTTAAGTGGCTCTTATTCTAACACATTATTTAAGAGTTTTTGATAGATGGAAGCACTCCTTGGGGAAGGAAGAGCTTTTATCTGCCTTATCCCTGGTGTCTCCAAGCTTTAGACTGGAGTTTCACAATTGGTGGGTACTCATAATGATTTTGCTTAATTAATAGGCTCCTTGGGGATCAGTCCGCTATGAAAGAGACAATCTGTGATTGGATCAGCTTGTGAGTACACTCCTCAGGGGCCTCACAAGTAACTACTGGAATACCAAGGTGTGACCTCACAAAGCAAGTGTTCCCTTTGCGGACCCTTTACTGGTGGAATCTAGATGCTCAGGAAATTCCTAAGCAGAGATTTTCTGTTGGATGATAAATGCAAGGAATAGAAATTGGAAATTTACAAAATGTCTGAAGCCTTTCAGGATGACAAGTAAGTCATTTCCAATCCACTGTTAGATAATGGATCAACAACATTCTGTGGGACAAGTACACATTTTTAGTAAATAGTTTCTGTTTCTGGTTGGTTATTAAGAAATGCCAGTGTTCTCTTAGCCTCTTCCTGTAGACACTAGTCTATTTCCCAAATTGAGATGCATGGCCTTAATAATTAGATCTCTGACTGGAGAGGTTGGTGAAGGCCTAGCCAAACATTTTGCTAAATCAATCCTTTTTCTTAAACTATTAAGTTGTTTCCAAGTTCTCACTACTATAAATAATGTTGGAATAAGTAGGTTTACTATTTACCTCTCAGATTGTATTTTCTTGGGGTAGATGCCTTGGGGTAAAGGATATGAATAATTCTGATGCTTTTCAGAAAAGTTGGTGAATTTATATTCCTCTGATAGTTTATAGTGTTAAGTATTACCATGTTTAAATCTTTGCTAATTTTATAAGTCAAGATTATGGCTTAACTTAATTTGTATCTCCCTGATTAGTATTGCTACTGAACAGTTTTTGGGGAAATCCATTTCTTAGAGTATTCAATTTCTTTTTTCTCTCTATCTCTGTAAAGTTGGTTTATGTGTGTGTGTGTGTGTGTATACATACATACATACATACATACATACATATATATATATATATATATACTTTTTTTTTTACATCATTCTTCATGTTGTACATTTTTTTCATCTAGGTTGTAATCCCTTTGGACTTCCCACCACCACTTCACCCTTGTGCCATCACCATAGTTCTGTGTGCTTTTCCCACCCAGATTTTATACTGTTCCCCTTTCCTACCCTGTAGAATGTCCCAGCTCCTTACGCTCCTGCTATGAGTGAAAGAAACCATTTGGTATTTTTCTTTTCCTTTTTGGCTTTTACTAATAAATTTTCCAGCTCCATCCATGTTGCTGCAAATGGCATGAGTTTATCTTTTTTGATTGCTGAGTGATATTCCATTGTGTATATGTACCACATCTTCTTGATCCAGTTATCTATTTTTGGGCATTTGGGTTGATTCCACATCTTCCCTATTGTAAATAGAATGGCAATAAGCATAGGCATATCCTTTTGAATTAATACTTTTGTGTCCTTTGGGTAGATATCTAGAAGTGAATTGCTGGTCATATGGAAACTCCATTTTTAGCAGTTTGAGAAACCTCCACATAGCTTTCCATAGTGGTTGTACCAGTTTGCATGTCTACCAGAAGTGTAGGAGTGTTTGCTCATATTATATGTACAACTGTTTTATTTATTATAAATCCTTTTTAAAAGATTTATTTACTTATACAAACAAAAGCTGGGGTATAGACCAGAGGGGGAGAGAGGTGAGAGGGTTCACCAGAGACAGGGAGGAAAGCAGAACAGGCAAATCTACTGAAATACACTGCTGAGGGGAGCAGAATGTAAGACGAGAGGTCTGTTGTGCCATGTGGCTTAGTTCCCTGGCTGGGGATTGAACTTGGCTTGCAATGGTTGCAGATAGTGTCATTGTGCTGAAACCTAAGTTAACCCCTTGTACAAACAAGGGGACCCTTTATTTACATTTTAAAAGCACAAGTGTATTAGGAAAAGGAGAAAGAGTTACCTATATAGTCATAGGGCAGCTGCTGCTGCTACTTTGCAAAAGGGAAAGGTTTGTATAAAGAAAACTGCATAATTATAAGTAGGCAGGAGCGCTGTCCTCCTTGCCATTTTAAAAGTGTGAATTGTTTGTTTGGCCCTCCCTGGTGGTGCAGCAGGTTAAAGCACAGCACTTTGAAGCTGGCCACTGCCACTTTGGTGCAAGTTTGATTCCCTCCCAGGAAGTGATCCACATGGCATTGCAGACCTCTCCTGACTTGCCTGCTGCTCCCTTCTGCATTGTACTTCATCAGTCTGCTTATTCTGCTTCCCACTCTGTCTCTGGTGAATCCTCTCACCGTCCCTGCTCTGGCCTGACCCCAGTTCTGTATGCATAAATAAATAACTCTTTTTTTTTTTTAAAGTATACATTGTTTGGATAAGATAACCAGACTTCTTGCCAACTTTTTGACAGGAAAAATGAAATAACGAGTCAGGAATTTGTGAAGAAAGTCATAACGAGTCGTCTCTTTAAGATAATTATGATTAGTACCATCTCCCTGAATGCTTTTTCCATGGTCATGTTCACTGATTTTCAAACGTCATACATTTTCTTCGACTTTTTTGAGGTAAGGAGACAGAGTGGCTCTATTTTCTTGTGTACCACTTATTTTATGTCTGGAGATGTATGATTTTTAAAGATATTCAAAATAACTTTCTCTGGAAAAATTCTAGTGACTTTAAAAATATACTCTAAAATCTGGGAAGATGGTGGTTGCAGTAGCAGAATGACAAGGTTTTAAAATATCTATGAGAAACATAAAGAAAAAAACATAAAAATTAATAGAGACCTCTAGGGTACCATTAAAATATACACACACATGTAATGGGTATTCCATAAAGAGAGTAGACAAAGTGTGTGGCAATTTGTGAAGAAGTAAAGACTAAAAACTTATCTAATTTGATGAAAAACAAATATTTATATCCAAAAAGATTAATAAACTTCCATAGGATAAACTTAGCGACCCATTTAGACACATCAAATCAAACTGTTGGAAGGCAAAGAGAAAATTTGGGAGCACTAATAGAGAACTGATTTGTGACACATAAAGAATCCTTAATAAAATTAATAGCTGGTTTCTCACCTGAAATCATGTTGGTTAGAAGGCAGTGGGATATTATGTTCTAAGTGCTGGAAGAAAAAGACTTTCAACTAAGAATTCTACATTCAGAGATGTCCTTTAAAATAGAGAGGTGTGACATAAGTAAAAATGATAGAGTCCATAACTCCAAGGGTCCATCTATGCAAACAAACACAACTGCAACTGACTGCAAATTCAGAGCAGAGCACTGAATGATTACTCTAACAGGGAACCAATTTGTCTGTCTTTCCATCATCTTCTCTCCTTTGTCCATTCTCTCCCTCCCTCCATTCTACTCACCCTTTCTTCTGCTTGAGGTAGTTAAGAAAGTCTTTGATAAAATACTTATTAAATGGAAACTAAAACTCAGAGACCATATATGATAATAAAAAATACACTTGTTGCACAAATTGTTAGAAAAGTCACTAAGCAAACCACCACTACCCACTGAAACCAACAAAAACAAATCCTGAGGAGTGGGAATATGATTTGCAGAACTGTCATATTGCTTTGTTTAAAAATTTGCAGTTTAACCTACGACCCAGCAGTCCCACTCCTAGGTATCTACCCAAAAGACATAAAAACACTGATTGAAAAAGATACCTGTACCCCCATGTTTATTGCTGCTTTATTTACAATTGGAAAAACATGGAAGCAGCCCAAATGCCCAAAAGTAGATGACTGGATAAAAAAGATGTGGTACATATACACAATGGAATATTACTCAGCAACCAGAAAAGAGAAACACATGTCTTTTGCAGCAACTTGGATGGAGATGGAAAAGATCATGCTTAGTGAGATAAGGCAGAAAGAGAAAGAAAAATACCGGATGGTTTCACTCATAGCAGGAGTATAATGGACCAGGCGAGAAAATAACAAAAATAATGAACAACCATATACCAGAGACATTTTGTGGGGGTGGAGTGGGGAATGGGATCAAAAACGGGGGGCGGGGGAGGGAAATGCACGGGATTATGGTGATGGCACACGGGTGACTTGGTGATGGGAAACCCGCGGGGATTACAATCGAGATGGGAAAAAAAAAATGTACAAAATGATGTAAAAATAAACTTGAGAAAAAAAATTTTCAGTTTAAAAAAATATTACAGGAGACATGAATATAAATTGTCTCTGAGCAAGCATAGACTTTGGAATTGTCAGACAAAGACTTTAAGTCAACTACGTTACATGTGCTTGAGGAAGAAAAAACCATGGACAAATTGCTAAAGGAAACCAGAACAATGTCTCAACCAATACAGTGTACCAATAAAGAGATAAAAATTATGGAAAAAAGCCAAACAAATTCAGAAACTGGGAATGAGAATAACTGAAATTAAAAACTCACTAGAGAACTAAAGCGTAGATTTGAGCAGGCAGAAGAAATAATGAATTTGAAAACCGATCAATTGAGCTTACTCAGTCTGAGGAAAAGAAAAAAAAAGGAAAGCAAAGTCAAGATGTGTGGGACATCAGCAGACATATCATATAGTGGGAGATATGGAAAGAGAGGAAAAGGCAGAAAGAATACACCCAAGAATCTCAGTGAACTCCAGGATAAATACATAAACTTCCACTTTGAGACATTTTGGAATCAGTATAACAAAAAGCCACAACGAAGTTTGAAGGCAGTAAGAGAGAAACTTTTGTGTGTATCTGCAACAAGATTAACAGTTGTGGGGCCCTCCTGGTGACACAGCGGGTTAAAGCACAATACGAAGAAGCTAAAACCACTTCAGCATGAGTTCGATCCCTGCCTGCCCTGGAGGTGATCCACATGGTGTGGCAGACCTCTCTTGACCTATCTGCTGCTTCCCTCAGCAGTGTACTTCGTCAGTCTGCCTGTTCTGCTCCCTGCTCTGTCTCTGGTG